TTAATTTATTTACTTTTTAAATTACATAATTCATTTATAGAAAAGTATTAACCTCAACTTTTGCTTTTTTTAAATGAATTCATGAAACAGATCCTGATTATTAATTGGCAAAAATTATTTTTATTATTATTTTTTTTTACAATAAACATTTTACCTAATATTAATATAATATATATGAAATAGAAAATTGTATTGAACAAAAAATTTTTTTTTTAATATTTCAAACAAAAATGAATTTGCGTAACATACTCTTTTCAAAGATGACTATTAATAAAATGGAAATAATGTCAATTAATTTGGTTTTTTTGATTATTTTTAAAGATTAGTTCATACTATCACTAGTTTTTTTTTCATACATTTTCTATTATTTTTTATAAATATTAGAAGTGTAATGGTAACAAACTACCTGTTAGTACTAATGAAAAAAAGAATCAAATTCCACATAATAAAGATAATAATGTTGTTGGTATTTTTGAAAGATGATATATGGTGTTTTGTGAGGTAAGATCATTAAATAATAAAATTATTAGTTTTTGGATTTGTCAAGATGTAATTTAATTGATAGAAGGATAACATGAAGGATAAATTAAGCAAAAAACCAAAGAATATCTAATACCATTTGCACTAAAATCACCATATAGCAATTTTTTACTTTGAAAATATATAATATTTCTTCATTTCAATTCCAACACTAGGTTTATTTCTGGAACACTAGTTCACCTCCTTCAAATTCACACACACAAACTGTTATCATGATCCTTAGCATCATGATAAAGATCTGTTAATGTGTTGAAATTAATAGCTAACATGGTAAATGTATTGAACAGTTTTTTCACCTATAAAAGTAATAATTATAATATTAATATTTTCCTTAATATATATAGGAATATAAATAATATTCACCTGTTATTTTAATTAATGAATATATTTTAATCAATAAATAACATATAAATAAAATTTTGATTAAATAATTACATCATCATTTTTTCCTACAGGTAAAATTTATTAATTGAGCTTCAACAACTTTGTAAAATTTTTTGGAAAAATGAAAATTATGTGAATTTCAAATAGTGTAAAAGTGGTACTTATTTGACACGGGGTACTAATACATCACCAGGAGCCAATGTGATTTCATGATTAGTCACATTGAAAATCATATACTAATTTAGAAGGTACTGTATATCTCGAAAAAAGTACCCTTCTGTATTTAGGTACTCCCTACTAATATTATTATATAAATGTAATCTAAAAAAAATTTTCATGGTGCTGGGATTCTAAGAATATTATTTGGAGTACCACTGAGAGTCATTGGGTCAAGCAAATTTTTTGTTGATAAATTAATAATTGTTTTGGCCATTTCAGCAGGAGATTTGTTACCTTCTTTAGCAATGATTAAAGCAATTGCACCTGAGACATGTGGAGCTGCTTGTGAAGAATTGTAAATTTGTCATTGGATTTTGCATCAACAGATTGAATGTTGGTGCCCAGAGCAATGATATTCACACAATTTCCAACATTTGAGTATTTAGCAAGAACATCTGTTTTTTCTTCAAGAGCACCAACCGTTATGGCTTCAGGAGCAGAGGCAGGCAATACGAAACAAGCATCAGTAGCATTGTTACTAGCAGCTGATACTACATGAGCACCAGTGTCAGTTAATGATTTAACAACATTGTTAAGAGCTGCAAGATAAACACTGTCTACTGACATGTTGACCACCATATTTTTGTTTGAACTTTTTATGTGTTGTTTAAGGACATAATGCAAACCAACAATGACATTGCCTTGATTACTGGTACCATTTGCATCAAGTATCTTGACAGAAATGAGATTGACTTGATTTGCAACACCAACAGTTTTTCCTCCAATTATGCCAGTGATATGACTACTGTGACCTTTATCATCATTATCAGTATCACAACCTGGACCATCACAAAATCTACCTCCTACTTTAGCACGATCTCCAAATTCAACATGTTTTATGTTAATACCAGTATCTATAATGTAGACATTTATACCTTTACCAGCAGAAGCAGGGAATGTGTAAGAACCATCTAGCAGGAGTTTACTTTGGTCAATACAATCCAAATTTGGTAGAAGAGTTTTTTCCATTATTCCTTTGAAAGATTTGTTTTTTGAGGGAATAACATTTTTTAATGTTATGGGAGAATCTTTTTCAAAAAAATTCAACATCACTACATGTGGAAAGGTGTTCCTTGACAAACTGTGGTGAAAATTGAGCTATGTAACCTTTAAGAGATGTTCCTTCTATGGTTAAATCAAGAGCTGTATTTTTTTCAACATTGTGATTAAAGAAACTTTGGATATCAATTGGTTTTTTTTTCACATCCCAACAATCATTTAATCATGATTTATGTCTGTTATCTTCAGCTTTTAAGAAAGCCATGTATTTTTCTGTTTTTAAATTAGTAAAGTTTGTGGTTTTAAATGAAGTCATGCATTAAATTTTATCATCATCTGGTGATCTGATCAAAGAGGCCAAGAAAATTGTAGCCAATATAACCAAAGATAAAATGGTAGATAAACGAGTAAAGAAAATCATTTTAAATGGATGTTATATTATTAGGTAGGAGATGGATAAGAAAAAAGAAAAGCAATTGTATTTTGTGTGCTAATTCTCGCAGAGATTTAGAGGAAAAATTGTTTTACCAATTGTTTTTTTTTTTGACCGCAAATTTTTCTAAAAAAGGGAGGAGAAAATTTTTTTTTGAAAAATCATTTTGTCTATTATATAGGAAAAATATTCTTTTAAAAATCCCGCATTTAAACACAAGTGTACAATATAAAAAAAAAAATTTTTTAAAAAAAGCTCCAAACAAGTCTAAATATAGAAAAATAAAAATTTTTCCCTTATATTTTTTTTAAAAAGGTTTCAAAAACTGGTTAATCCGGAGAAGGCATTAATTATTTATATGAATTAATTTTTCGAAACTTTTCAAGAACGTGTAAAGACCAAACCAACAATTAGTTGCCAATCAAAATGTACACACCAAACAACAAATCATGCATTCTGATTGGATTGTTACCAGCCGTGTAACTTTCCTTTTCCACCCTTTCTGCGCAAAGAACCCTAACCCAAAAAGCAAAAAAAAATACTTAATTATTGGTTAAAGGTTCCCAAATTAAGTCAAAAATTTATGAGTGGCTTTTAATTTTAAATAATAAGCAAAGAAACAATGTCAGTTATAAAGTATTACTTTTGGCGATGAGAAGGAAACTAACACATATCAATATTAATAAGTGAATTATATCCTCTTTGAATGATGCGGCTGACTGTTTTGATGTTAATTCATGGGACAATAAAGAATTATATTCATCTTCAAAACAATTAGAATATGAAACATTATATGGAAATATCAATTGGTTATTTATAATATATTTATTTATTAAATTTAGAATCACACAATCATTAAAAGTTTAGATTTGAAACATCAAGCCAATTGTTATTATTATTACAAATAATTCGAAATAAGAATTTGTATTACGAATAGAAACCTACTCAACGTTTTATGTTTTTCAATGGCCGAAGTGAAAGAAATAAACAGTAAAAACCAGGAAAACCGTTATCTGATATTTTCAAACCTGTTTATTCCAAATTAAACCAAGATAATAATAATATAATGAGTCAAGATCTGCTAATATATGAGGGGTTTTCTAACCTCTTACTCTCAAATCTGCGATTAAAGCAAATTTTTTCCCAAGAATTCTTTAAAAAAAAAAAAAAAACTAATTCTGTTAGTAACATTGCCAGTAATAGTAATAATAACATTATTAACATGACTTTTACAACAGCATCATTTAATAACAACAATTCAACAACCAAAACAATTGATACATCTGCCTTTTCTGAAATAACATCTCAAGATAAAAATCAACAAAAAAAGCCAAGAAAAATTTCAAAAAGTAAAAATGTCAACAATTATAATGGTGACATTTCCGATTATTCAACAACATCATTGCCTGCATCCAATAATGGCTCAACTCCGTCTCTAATTAGTATGACAGGTATACCTACAATGAGTAATGGTTATCGTGGTAATAATTTCAATGGTAATCATTATAATTCAAATAATTTCAAAAATGATCGTGTTAAATCATCATCATCTTCATATGATGAAAGATTTAATAATAATAATAACGGTAATGGTAGAGGTATGTCAACAGGTCCACAAGAAATAGTTAGAGATTCAACAACACCAGAATCATTTTCATCACATGCATATAGTTGGCCTATTTTATTCGCTGTTATACCTCCGATGGGAGCACTTATTTTTGGCAAATCTGATGTTTGGAGTGACTTTCTTTTGTTACTTTTAATAGCATTCTACCTATATAATATCATAAAAGGTATTTGTTTATTTGCATCCATTACTATTTTATTTTGATGATATCCATTGATTATGATAAGTCAGTGATGATAATAATAAAAATTATTAAATTTTATTAAATGATTGTATAGTGCCTTGGGAACTTTATTATGCTGCTAGATCAAAACGTTTAATGCATGAAAATGCAGTTAAAGGTCAAATACTAGATTCAACTCAAGAAGCCATCAAAAACCAATTGACAAAAGAACTTCAATCTCATGAACTATCTGCTTTAATACTTGTTATTGCATCTCCAATTGTTGGTGGCTACGCATTGCATGGAGCAAAAACTTATTTGACTGATTATGACCAATACATTTCTCACTTTAATATTGTGTTGTTTGTTTTTGCAGCTGGTATCAAACCTTTAATGCATATAGCTAGTTTAGCAAAAATAAAAACTTTGCGTCTTCAAGAACAAATTCATTATCCTAGCACAGAAGTTGAAGTATTGAAAAGACAAATTCAACATTTGGAATATGAATTTTCACAAATACGCAAAGGTTTAGCGACAAAACGTGATATAAATAGTATCAGAGATGGATTCGAACCCACAATTTCTCAACTTAACAAGATGGTTAAAAAATATGAGAAAAAAGAACAATACTTGCGTAATTATTCTGAGGAGAGATTTGCATATCTTGAATCAAAATTATTTGAATATGACAATTTCATTAATCACAATCTAAAGGAACAAGAAGCAATGACTTTACCGCCCAGCATGATGCAACTGATGGTCCTCCCATCAAACATTACATTAACAATGTTAAGCTATGTAAAATACTTTTTACCTAGATCTTTAAGAGGTAATCACCAAAAACCAATGTTACAACCTGCTGATTCATCTGATGGTGATGGTAATAATGGATTCATTAATAATGATATTGTAAATTAACCCAGGGGAAAATATTTAACAAGGTGTTTTGGATTCTAGAAATTCACAATATATTGATATTTCTTTCAATTCAGCATTTTAATCTTTCATGTTATACGTTACTATCAATTTATTATATTGGTATATTCCTGTTTTTTTTTTCACCTTTACATCATAATATCATTATGCCATGGTGCCATTGTAATGTTATTATTGCCTTTACATCCCTTATTTAACACATCTCTTTACACATTCATTTGTCATGTCAAAGAAAACTGGGTAGTTGGTATTCTGAATATATAAAAATCAATGTATATATATATATATATGTATGTATATATATATTTTATGATCAGTTTTTAAATTTTATTTTTATTTTTATTTTTATTTTTACATTTATATTTTTATTTTATTTAAATACATATATATATATATATCTCAGCACATACAAAATTTTTGTAATTTTTTTTGTACAAAGGTTTTTTGACAATAGAATTTACATATTATTTTAAAATTTTATAGACGTTATTTACAAATAAATAATTATTAAAATTTACAATTATCATTCTTCCTATCTATTTTATATTTTATTTATTTACACATTAGACTCTACAATTATCAAAATTGAAAACCAAGATATCTGTAGCACCAATTTCTTCCAATTTATCCATAACATTTGCAACCTCTTCTCTACAAACCATACTTTGTACCTCAATCCAATTAACATCCTCTAACAGACTTATCATCAGAGCTTGTCTACCTGGTGTAATTTTTGCAGCTTGTTTCAGATTTATTCGTTCAATATTATAATAATCCACCAATACATATTTTTTTGCTGCAACAACACCTTTTACACATGATGTGATCAATGATGGATTTTTTGGACGTTTGTTCTTGATTAGGATTGCCTGTGAAGTCAAAATTGTCAAAATTTGTTCTATTCATTGTATTGCCTGTTTCTGATATGAATTTGAATTTTGAGTTTAAAATTGATAAAAGAGAAAGAAAAAACCAAAAATACTAACCAATCAAATCAACTATACATTAATTACATTATCAGTATTATATTGGTACTATGAAATTAAAAGTTAATTAATTTCAATTGAATTCAAATTCAAATTCAAATTCAAATTCAAATTCAAATTCAAATTCAAATTCAATTGAAATTAATTAACTTTTAATTTCATAGTACCAATTGCACCAGCCAAACCAAGAACACAAGAAGCCACTAATGTACTCAATTTTAGTTTTTTTTCCAGCAGTTCTTTCCTCTTTACTTAAATATTGATTATCCAATTTTTTCAAAATATTTGGGCAGTCAAATTTTCAAAACTTGTAATCATTCGTTTACCAACTCTTTAACATCTTTGATTTGATTTCTGACGGGTGCTTGTGTTTGAAGCTTACATTTGCCAAATTCCAATTCAATTATTTCTTCAACTTTTTCAGACATTAATGACTCTGCAACCATATCTTGACCTGTTATGCCCAAGTCTGCATTTCCTTCAACAAATTTTGCTATGTCGGTTGCTGGTAAAAATATTATGGCTATTGGTAAGTTTTGTACTAAGGCAATGCCTATTGCGTCTATTAAAATAAAATACAATGTTCGTGAAGACGACCTTTTTTTGGAATGGCAAATAATAAACGATCAGTTAATTGTGAAATTAATACCAATTTTGCTTCAAGGCTTCCCTCACTATTCTTCTTTTGTCGAGAAAAGGCTCACTTTTCTTAATTATACCAATATCATCATCACCAGGATCTAACTTATCTTTAAATAACCACTCTATTTTTTTACTTCTTCAGCCGAAAGAAAACATTTTACAGTACTGGAATTCTGGCTTAAGTTCCCTTTTCGAGATTGCGGGTATTTAGGAAATCTAGAATTTGGCAAATTGACTGACAGGTCTGGCAGACCACCTTTTTCTTTCATAAAATTTTTATATACAAGGAAACATGTCTGGAACTTGAAATTATCTATCCCTTCTCAGAAGCAACAATTCGCATAGCATTATTACTGTATTAGAGGTGTCAAGGTGCAAATGAAAAACATTGTGCAAAACAACTTGGAATCAATTTTGATGTAAACATATAATTATTCTTAGAATTTCAAGGTGTATGACTACCTGACCATAATAATAATGCACGCATGTATGCAATTAGTTCAATTCAATTAGTTAACTTTGTACATTCTTTTCCTTTGTAAGAGAAATTTGGTATAAACACATTCATCTCTCTGTGTTATTCGTTTGAGGAAGACGCAGAAAAAACCCCCGTTTAAAAAATGGATGTCTTTCTTTTGACTCAGGCACCATTTGACACTGTTAGAATTGCCGCCATATTAATATAAGCAAGTAGAATTGGGTGAATGGACTGATGATCTTAAAAAAGAAACAGATAATTATTCCAGAGCTTCAAACCAGGTGAAGAATTGGAACAAAGGGTTAGTATATATTTTTTTAAGGCTGTCTTAACAACTGCAGATAAATGATGGTATACCATTGTGTGGAGTTAGCATGTAGTCTAATAAAGGTCCTAATGTATGGATACTGTTCAGTGTAGTCTGAATAAGGAAATATTGTGTAGATTCATGTTAATCAAAGCACAATAGAGACTGGTTATTATTGATGCATTCAAATTATTTGGCAAAAAATAAAAGGTTTGAATCAATCAATATACACAGTGAAACTCGATTTAGCGGATTTAAGGGTTTAATATTAACGGATGAATTTTCATATCAGCCGATTTGGTTTTTTGGGCCTTTTTTCAAACCTTATGTCTTATTGTGTCTCGATGTTAAACACGAG